TATATAAGGAATATGGGCAAAAAAGCCGATTTCGACAGTAGACCTCATTGTCGGCAAGACACACGGACACCACTAACGAAAACGAAAATATTACAGGTAATAATAATGATGAACATCAACAATATCATATTCACTAAAGATACGTGAGTTGAGTGGGTTTATTAACGTATTTTTGTGATAACTCAATATGTAACGTACTTGCGTGTTAATTTAAGCAGTACGTTGTGGTCCAGGTTCGAACCCGAGCACAGACATATTTCATTTTGTGCTGGGAGCCAGCCGTCTGACGGAATTGCTTAACGGCGATACCAGACGTAAAACTCAAACCATACGCTCGAACACAGCGGCTGCTTGCAGTAAACAGTCGATATTCAGACAGCTGAGCATTGCAACGCGCCTACGGTATTGATTTGTTGAGAATGTGCGGTGAACACTCGTCAGAGGCTTGGTCTGAGTCAGCAAGGAACCAGCATGGCCTCGTTCGCTGTCACCACTATTGATGAAGTACAACAACGGCAGAGCTCAGACCGGCCACGTATGAGATTCACACTTCACAAGTAATAACAGAGGTGTGATCTAATCAAGCTTCATTAGCTGTCCAACGTTGCCGCATTGTCATTGGGCATTGTTTCAAGTGGCTGGCTGCCAGCGCGAAGCGCTTTCCAGTTTCCAAAAAAAAAAAAAAGAAACAGGTTTGGAGCTACACTACCTGACGTGTCCCCAATTTCAGTAGGCAAATAGACGTGTTAGCACTGCATTATCTCGACGCTAGCACAACTTCTGTAGGCACTCTGCTCGCAGATCGCCAATCATTGAGATGACGCGATCACCGAAGTGAGAGATTGACCATCAAGACCTCATTTTGTACCAATAAAACTTGACGCTGCCCTGTGAAGCTGTGTTGACGCACGTAATCAGTCAGTGAATGATCGCTCGTTTCGGCTGCGTCTACAGCGGACATAAATATTACGGCTACTGCTGTCTCTACAATAGATCCTGTAATCTAATGCATTCGCTATATTATTCTCTATGGCCTATTGGCCACGACGGGTCAGCTGACCATCTAGCTGTTCTAGCTAGAACGATCGGCTGCTTGAACTTTGCCGCTGTTTTCGGGTCAGCGGAGGAAAGAAGAGATGGCCATAAAAAATGGTCAATCAGCATTCAGGGTAGAAAACGGTGTATGGCATCACATACTAATTTGTTTCGCGGAAGAGAACTGTATTTATTAGAAGTGAATTGTTACACGTACGTAGCTTACATATTGTACTAGGGCTTGTGGGGAAACAGCATGCACAGAACGCACGCAGAGATGCGAGTAAGGCACGACTTTCTAAGTTGATTTTAGTATTTTTGATAGCTCCACAAACGTTTTCGTTGTAATAATGATTTAGATGTTTTGAAACAGGAAGATGACTTGTCCAGGTATAGAAATATCGTTGCTGTTATGAGTAGAGCTATTATGTATGGCTTACCTTTTGTAGGACCAATATCGAGGCCAAAGGGAAGCACGTGTGGACCAGTGTACGAATCGACTCTTGGAAAGCGTTCAGCCAGATTTAAAATTTTATGTACTAAATACTCTTAGATAGAAGATCGAACTCAAAAGTTTATCTTTCTGAAAGTAAAATGTTCAATTTTATTTTATTTATTTATTTTTGCGCTAGCCCTTTAGAAAATTACAACAACGATTAGGCGCTAACCGATGTCCCGAAAGAGCACCAGCTTGGCAATTTAATCGTAATGGATTCGCTGTAAGACTTCTAGAGAAGGTCACACAGTGCTGGTTATCTATGCTAAACGGTGGGCGACTCATCCAAGTGTTCCTCGAAAACGCTGTCAAGAGCATAGCAGACGAAAAAGTAGATCAATAATTGAATTTCTTTTTCCCGCGATGGAAAATGGGCTAGGAATAGAGAGAATTTAACAAAGCAAAGTAACTCACAAAGAACCCTATTTACCAATTAAAAATACAGGGAAAACAGTGTCATATATACATATGTATACGATCAGTAATAAAACATAAAAAGCGACACACACAAAGAAGATCTCTGTAGACTTTTGATGAGTCTCTTTTCAAAGTTTATTGGCCACGCGTACTACTTTTTGCTCACGGGCACATCAAACTGAACCTCTTGTCTGCAGGATCCTTTTCCAAGAAATCATAACATACCTCAGCTTGACGTAGGTTCCAGGACCGTACAAAGGTGTACGTTAAACGTTAATGAAACATAGCCTTCCCTCGAACACTTCTACGCGTTGGACTCTAATTGAGACGACTCTTTTCACCGTGAAGATGTTTTCCGTTTGCGAGACCTTCGTTGCTGCGATACTTCAGTCCCGTCATCATTAACAACAGTCGTATGCATACAGGCGCCTGCCGTACGACGTAACTACTTTTCACAGTCAAGTTGGTCGCGTCTATTCTCATTACTGGCCAGCGCCACCCCACAACGCTAATGAATTACACGCACCGCTATTTCACAAACAACAACTCGACTTTAATAAATAGAATCGTACATGGGCCATTGTCTGTTCCATGTTCGTGCCATTGTGTCCTCGAAAAGATGTATTATTGCATGCTGCTACAAGCGGGAACCCGATTAGTAGTCGTTGAAATGCCGCGATGGCTTCAACAGTATACTTAGCAGTATATTCAGCGCATAGCATTTGTTAGCTACTGATACCGTCTGTACTATTTGGCGACGAATGCCATAATCATATCTATTGTTTCTCTATCCAATGGGCATAGATATATTCGGCGGTCTTTCGGTGCATCTATGCCGATGTATTGCTAGCGTCTGTTGCTGGCCTGAAGCCAGCGACATCGGCGTACAGAGGCGGACGCTACGGCGGCTTCGGCTGGAAATTAATGACGCGTTCTGATGATGAATACAAACATCGCTACTATGACGAATGTGAGCGTACGAACCATAAGTGGCCTGGTAACGCCTGACAGAAAATAGGAAACAAGTCGGTAACGGCGACAGCGTTACTATAAGCTTACCGTTGACATGACAGCGTCAAAAATGACTTGTCATCTATAACTCTTTTCATTAGATAATCCCATTTCGCCGGCGCCGCTGGGTCCCGGAACTATTAAGACAATTGTAAGCATACCTAAAAGGTGGTAGGCGGAGCAGGCGCATGTCGTAGGCCCAGCGCCAAAATAGAGAATTCGTGTGAACCAAGCGAAGTCTGAAGTAGTAGCAAAAAGTGCGTCAGGACGTGTACACAGAAAAAATAAGGAAAACGTGGTTTTTCCGGTAGTCATACGGACATATGGATTTCGTAGAAATGCAAATCTGTGTCGTTCTGGACCACTGTACGACATCGTAGTTGTGGCAATGAACGGATATAGAATTTCTGTCAACGTTGAACATCGTTGTTACGGAGCTCTGCAGTCCATTGGAGTCGATGTAAACGTAAATAGTCATTTAGGAGAGAATAAATCGCGGGGGTAGGTGCATCCTGTGGATGACCTGTAGCCAGAAACACGATGATTCTTCCCTCTTTAGTAAGGCTGTAGCAGCCACTAGTTCAAAGGGCGTTTGCTTTTTCCTCTCCAGAAGCGAGTGATGTACTATCCTATTGCTTGTTTACCATAAACCTTAGTTGCTACTATAAAGAGAATAAATTAACGTGTGCAACAATAGCAAAGCCTATGCGGTGGTTATGCAATGGTTAGGCATTGCTTTACAATAAATGTAAACAAATAATAAAATCCACCAGGGCAAGTCGAGACCTAGAATTTCAACTTGACCTTATGTTATGTCTGACGTAGAACTCTCACTGAATTCGTTCAATAACGTTATCCTCTTATGCTCGTTTCTATTGACTGACGCTCGTCATGTAGCGTGTATCATTGGCGTGGCTTGAACCAGCGACCCCTGATGATCCCCAGTTGCATCGCATGTAACGCCTTATAAGCTCGAACTATCTGTTAAATGTGTCTTTCAGTGAATGTCTGCGGCGACAGTTGTTATGGCTTGGATTGCGTACAGATGTCGCCAATGAGCGGCTAACGGAGCAGCATCTATCATTGCAATTTTTCGAAACAAAAAAACATTATGCGGACAGTATCTTTCTAAATCGTCAAACGTAATTTTATCCCCTCAAAGCTTTCGTAACGAATCAAATAACCTGTAGTAATATCGAACTCCACGTGTTTCTATCCATAACTCGTAAAGACCTAAATAAATCCATTAAGTGTAGTTGGTAATATGATAATTACCACCAAAAATGTTCCCGTTGTCTTTTGCACTTTTAACAAAGGTTCTATGTAGCTTTGCCTATATCCTTTTATGCTTTCTAACTCTGCGACGACAAAACAAACCTGATCCTCACCAACAAATGCTGTTTCTATTTAATACGACGCGCGGGCAGTGTCAGTCTGCACCGTTCATTTGTCATGTATTTTAACTTAACGTTTATCTGCAGTATATATATATATATATATACGTTTTTCGCTTTCCTTTCATTTAATAAGTTTCCCCGTTTCCTGGTTGAATTGTAGGCGGACATGCAGCCCGACAGGGTACGCCTGAGTTGCTATTGCTGTCGATGTCGGTGTTGCTGTGAAACAGACGACTGCAGTCAGACGTAACATGTCAATGCTGTCCACAGCAGGACTGCTGCGATCTGCGCGTCCACGATGGAAGATTGACAGAAGTGGTGGATCAAGCCCCCGCCGCCGCCGCCGCCACAGCCAGCCGTTTGCTGTCGGACCGGTGTTTGTCATTCTAATCTTAACCCTGGCGGCGGCGCCCGAAGGCAGCCGGGCATCGTTTGGTGATCAATCTCACGTCTTCATGAGCTGCATCCACAACTGCTTCTTTGGAAACTGCTCGACCGAGGGCGATGTCAGCAGGTAATCTAAATAGCGATAGATCGCTAGATTAATTGGGAGAAGTCGGCGTTTTATTCAGCAGTGAAACTGGCTACCAACAAGACAAGTAAAGCAAACCAATATCGAATAAATCTGTGATGCTACTAAATTTAGAACGTGTCCACGCTCAGACGCAACAAGTACGTGTTCAGATACAAATCGAAAGCGATACTCGAGGATAGATAGTATCTCACCTAACAAGAGGTTCAAAATTCAAGTTAGACAGATACTGAGAGAAAGAAAATTGACATTTTCGAAGAACAAAACGCTTCTGTAAAGCGTCATTGGTTTCTGTTGACACCGAACGGTGCTCGTGTTTCCTTAATGTTTCCAGCACTCTCTAACCTATCTTTTCTATAAAAGCGTTTGCATAGGTAACAAGGCCTGGCTGGGTTGGACGAAGTTGCTGACATTTTCCCCAGCACCAATGACGTGTCTAGAATAGAGGGGATTCGCGTTAACGTTCATGAGAAGACTACTAATAATGTTTGTAAAAGTGTCAAATCTGCGAGAAATTTTCACAGTGCTAGCTTCATGTTTCGTTCTATACGGTGGTCCATAAGTGAAGTTCAAATTTTTTTTGGCGCGATGCTTTAATAGGTGCTCTTGTTTTCTTGTAGAAAAACATGTACAAGATATTTGTATTAATTTGTAATGCATTCGGAACTATGTGTTATGCCAATGAGTAAGGAAAGCGATACTGCAGCAATAATTAACTAGGTTGACTTGAAGCTGAATCTACGTCATTAGACGAATTGCTGGACACAATAAAGGGAATCGGTACATTTCTATTTCGGGAAAAGCCAAAAGTTAAAAATTCTAATGTGGAGGTGCTTTCCAGGTAGTAGACTAATATTGACCTTACCATGGCTATACATTTGATCAACTTACATTAGCTAGTTTTCTTAGTATAAAGCATAACGAGAAACAAGTTAGTTGTGGCAAAGATAATATACTGCTAAATTTAAGTTCTCCCCAAAATTCGGAAGAGGTAAAATTCGAATTAAGTTAGTGCCATATATAGACAAAGGCGGCAGCAGCGCGGAGCTTCCTAGGCCAAGCTAAATTCAAAGTCGGACATCGAAACGCGTACTGCGCTCTCATTGTTATGTGATCAATAGAATCATATCATGTCACTACCCAGGTTACAAGAGCCTTATATGTAAAAGCATATGTTTTCGCTAAAAAAGATCGTTTCCTAGAACCGACTGTGGTCTGCGTTGCTTTACGTTTGAATATTGTCTTAGCTCGTTTAGGTCTTTACAAAGCATACATTGCCAATTCGGTACCCCGAGCATTATACTATAGCACCATTTGGGCGCGGCGACGAACTCTGAAAGCGGCCGAAAACGTCTAAGCCAGATTACGTTCTGTATATTTTTGTTGTTGTGAAATTGTTGTTGTTGCTGTTGCTATGTTGTTATCGTGCTTATTCGAAGGCGAGGATAGTCTAGTAGTGACTGGCAGTGTCTCCTGCTTGATGTCAAATGGAACGCTATATCCTTGGAGGCGTCTACGAAATTTCGACGGAGTTATAGTAGATCGTTATCGTCTAGTATAGCTTGACATTATTCTAATAGCTAGTAACTGATAGACACGAACCAGAAATTCTTGCCCAGTCTTTACATATATATGGATATTTAAAGATCTGTGAATATATAGAAATCTACGTATCTGAGTGTATATCTTCATTCTTCGACAATGATTACGCGCTTTTTTTTGGTGCTATCTCAGTATCGAGTCATTAGCACTATGGCTGAACGCAGTATGCGCAATAACGCCATGAGCAATATACAAGACATAGTATACTATAACCTGGTAATCGGCTAGGCGAATAACCTATAAACCCGGCTCATTTACTCGGTGCTCACATCGGACTAGTTGCTGTCATTTGTATCAATAGAAATCTTTGACTGTACATAAGTAAATGAAAAAAAAAAAAAGAAAAGTAGTTAATTAGGAAATCGCACGGCTGTTCGTCGCTTACGTGTCATTGTTTCAGCGACTTTGTTCTGAAATCTGAAAAGTACGTGCGCGCGATCGGACGGTAAATTGTCACCCGCCATATGTACGCGATTAGATCAAAGCGTAATCTGAGTTGACGGTTCAGAAACATTCGCAGTGTACGCGAGGCACGTTCGTGTGATACGACTTGATAATGAAAGGCTACTTTAAATAATTCAAAAAATATCACCGTAAGTACTATTTACGAAGTCTGTAAGAACCTAAGGAATCAGTACATTGTAATCCTTATTGGCCAACGTAATAATAGATAGTGGCAACCGTTAGGCATCACAAAGGTGGCCTAATTGATGTCCGCAGGTAGTAAAAGCTAGCCGAAAATTCAATCGGGAAACTTTTAATGGCCAGGAATCTATGATGGCGTCACTGTAACAGATCTCGATGTCAGACTTATTGGCCATCTGTCTGTCTATAAATCAATTTATTACAGTTGATGTTCTGTTCTTTGCTTCCGATCTATGCGTTTGATCCACTAAAATATAACAGTATTGATGCAATGGCAACTGGGCGCACGGGCTGTAGGTAGAACAACAGAAACCGCAGCAACTTCCATCAAGATGCGGTTCGTCTTGGACCGTTTTACTCTCTAATTGCACTTGGCATCATTATGACGGCAGCGGTGGCCGTGCTACGATGCCTCAAGGATAACGTACAGATAAGCATCAGATAGAGATTCGTGGTTAATGCGGACAACAACAGCTGGGCACGAGCTGCTATTTGGTACCACAGGGAAGAAGGATGCTTAAACAGAGAGAAGTAAACGGTTTTTATTTTTTTCGCTTCTCTATCGATTTGGTGTTATTCTAATGTTGGTAAGCAAAACTGTATAGCTGATGGCATCTGGTAAGCACATAGCGACCTACAGCGCCGAACGTCAGCACAATTTCGAACACAGGTGTAAATAGCGGGACGGCTGCTTTAACATTGGGCGGCTTATTTGAAATATAGCGAATCTATTCCATTGAAAGACGTTAGAGTATGACGGGCTTTGTCGACTAGGTCTTGCGTCCAGCTTTCGAACTCACCGCCAGTACGATAAGCCGGACGGGTAAAGGAAGCAGCGACAAGTGAAAAACCAACGATATATGCCAAGACACGTTTCGTTTACTAGGCGATTGCTGCGAGCGAAGTGTTCTACTTCAAAGCAGCCTGCGACGTCACCTCGGTTGTACAAAGGATAGACGTAGAAAAAGAGATTCGTGAAGAATCAATTCAACTGCGAACACACATTTATTATCACTTGAGAATGGACAGACCTCATTTATGCCGACCCAGCTAGTTTAGTGAACAGCCGTACTTTCTACTGTTATAGATCCCAGTGCATTGTTCGTATCCGCGAACGACTGCAACTAAATAGATAGCGTTGCAATAGCTGCGCGATCGTATGTATCATAGAAAAAGAACTATTCGATTGTTGTAGATGCCGTTATGTGTACTGTCGTCGGGCGCCATGTTGATACACAGTGCTCAGTGTACGGGCTCTTCTTTGCGTAAGCGGATAGATTCTCTGTATTAGATGCTGAAAAGCACATTTAGAAATGCTTCATTTGCCCGATCCGGTCGAACATTCGCTGTTTGTTTCATCTACACTCTAAGCCCTCAGTCATGTTGCTTAGAGATGGCGAAAACATAGTCATAATATCATTACTACTAAAATATCTAAGAATCGCGCTTTCGTTGTAGGACCAGAAGATTCACGAAGACGCGTCGCCGATGATAGATGCCTTCAGAAACTATTCGGCCGTTATAGAGTTTGGCAGTAGAAAATTAATAGTTTCTGTATACAGCCGAAAGAGAGGATGTTACCAGTATTGAAAATTTTCTATAGAAAAAAGGGGATGGGCGGCATATATAGCGAGCATTGTGTAGCATATAGATTAACTAGAAATAGAAACAGCTGCGCTGCGTCGTAGGAATGATTTTAATTATTATTATTATTTACAGTTTAATTCTTTGCAATGGCTTTAAAACTTGTCGTACATGTTCCACTAAGATCATTGGCTTTAGACAGATAATAGTTCATTATCAGGTCGTCTTTGTACACTTGGAGGAAAGTTCAATCATTCTGCTTCTCATATCAAATTGAGAATGGCCAAAAAAACATTATTCTGTGTTGCTAAATATCTAGCGACGTTGTGTCTGCGGATACTGTGCATGCTTCGACTAATATCCTGATCTAAACTGACAGCTGACAGACAAAGAGTAGGCAGCGAAAAACCTGAGATATTTCTGACCTTCAAATTTAACGAATTCGCAATTAGGTTCGCTGAAAGCCATCATAAAGCAGAAGAATCACTTGCAAATTGGATTTCGTGATATACTTTATTAAAGTCTATTTATGTGCTACTCCCAAGCTGTTTAGCGTATAGATAAAATCATGGGTAATAAATCTGTATTAAGCGGGGTCAAAAAGGACGAACTACACGACACATTATTCCTTTTTTTAAAAATGCAGCAGAAAATTGAGCGGCGTTAGACAGGACTGTAGTTTCCTGCATTAATTTTGCTAATTTTTTTTTCAAATACAAGCACGACAATAGTTCGGCGAAAAAAAGTCTGATACAGCAATCTCAACATAAGGCTTGGCGAACATGAAGCTTGGGGGTTGAGTGAGAAAAATAGCAGAATTCTTGAAAGGTAATTTGTCCTCATCTTAGGTTGACACAGTTCCCTAAATGTGTTAGGCATAAATATATCGATATATATATTCAGAAACTGTAATTATCAACTATTGTGTGTGGGTGTGTGTGTGTGTGTGCTAGGGGGAAGAGGGAGGAGGTACCGATCATGCGGAGACAATATAACGAAGCAAAAATTTGGCTGAAGTGTTTGGCTTCTCCACGCAGGAGCGCTCGGTAAAGGTCACGTGCCTTTCTTTAGTCGCATTTAGCTGGCATATCGAACAATGAAGAACAGCCAATGAAGTCACGCCTATATAACCAGTTCGAACAACGAATTTGCTATTCCCTGGGATAGATCAGTGAAACGTCGTGGGGAAATCGATAAGATGCCTCGATCTCGAGTAGTTCCAGTGGACTGATCGAGTTCATCCTCAACCTCAATTGCTCTCTCTAAAAGGAATAGAAAGCACAGACTGTAGGTGTTATTTACATCACCATAAGTATTGCAGGAAATTTTATAGTTGGGTTCGTCCGATGCGCTGCAGTGGACTTGTAATTTTTTGAATTTTACTTATTTGCTTGAATTGTTAGCTGTAGACGGATCGTCAGTATTTTCCAGCAGTATACATCGAACAACATGGCCTTATCGTCTGTGTCGGCCGAACGGTGTTTCGCGCAGTAGAACGATACCACGTTACCTACATAGGTAGCCATAGCTGTTACGTTTTGAGGCACACGATAATTGCCGTTACAGGATAGCTCAGCATCGCGTACTCTGTTGTCAAAGTAAATTTAGCAAATAAACATAAAGTCGATATTACTCAAGGCATAGTAGAACTGATTAGGGTCTAGAGCGGCCAGCTCAGCTGTGGAACAAGAGTTCAGACGTACCGAGGTATTAGCCCGTTTAAGGCTAGGATGTCTTCCGTATCATTTCACAGTTTGTACGATCAATGTTGCCATCAAATTGGAATAGTACTTTATTTTAGAGCAAACGTTTTTGAACGGTTCGACAATGATACCGGCCGCCGACGGCTAGATCCTCTTCAGCAACGAAAAGGCAGAACGAGAAGCGAAATGCGTGCGGTGCGTCAAATCGCCGTGCCGATCGAGCTTGTTCCAATTTAATCTTTGCTACCTTGTGAAGATCAGATACTTCCAAGTTAGATCCTGTCCTCGATACGAAGACTTGCACGACTACTAGCAGAATATCAGTATTGGCGGCGGTGTGCCGATCGTGCCGCTTCGGTGAACATGAACGAGCTCAGCTAGATTATTAATCAGCACTAAAACGGGATCGATGTGACTGGCCCCTTTATGAGCGGGATGGTCTATCCGCATCCAGCATTGTTCTGTGTCATTTTCAGGTAAAAGAAGGTGTTGTCCGAACTCGTATGTATGATATGTCAGTTCAACAATGTAGCTAATATGAAAAAAAGATGGACTAATAGACGGCGTTACGTTACGTTATTTTGTGGCAGGTTCGAGCACAGGCAGCCGTGGCATCTGCGGCTCCTGGGATGGGACTGTGAGGATGAGTGTGGTCACCAATGCATGTGGAAAACCGTGGACTATTTTGACAGTTTCGACGAACGGGTTCAGTTCAGAGGAAAAGTGAGTTTGTCGGAAACGAAATATCATTCGCAGACGATATAGCCTCATAGACATTAGCTACAAATGAATACTATAACTAGAATACTATTAGTTTCGTGTCTACGTTACTTGATCGGGTGGTATCGTTTCTAAGAACGAATACGCTTGGGTAACTCTACCAAAATCGACTAATTTGCAGAAGTTGTATTGAATCAGTAGTTGAATTTACGCAAATCCTCTCGTATACATCGAATCTATTAAGAGACAAAATAGTGTTTACGGTTAGACATTCGACGACAAAGTACGGCTTGTCAGCGATAGGGTATGGCTGGCCAAAGTCAGTATTTGTTGCTAGATTCTGGTACGCTGTACCAATCTTTTAGATTGACTGTGAAAGTATGCTTTTTCTGTATGATTTCAGTGGCCATTTGTTCGCTGGCTGGGTCTTCAGGAGCCGGCATCCGTTTTTTTTTCCCTATTGAATCTTTTCGCGCACATATATGGCTGGAGTGAATTCAGTCGCCGAGTGGCACCTAACAACCGATTCTACGCATTATGGAAAACGCACGCTTATGTGGGTTGCTGATCTTTGACGGAACAAACTGAATATGTTTGTTTTTAGCTAGCGCTGTCGTTGCTATTTATTGATTGTTCTCTCTTACTTCTTTTTCTACCTAAACTTCCTTTGTCCGGTTCTCGGCTAGTTCCCGCCGAGAAGTATCATCGATACAGAATGGAAATAAATTATGATCAAACTGCTATTGTATATTATACGTCACATAAATCAAAAACCTCCAAAGTCACGTATCCTTGCTAACAACAATCATATAGTAAAAACGACGAAAATAATAGTACTATTAATAAGTGTATTTTTCCTAATTTATGATTTAATAAATATTGATTTAGTTTAGTACTGTCAATTTATTGAATAGCAATAATGATAGCGTATTGAATTTTTAAACTTACGATCGTCCGTTTCAGTTGGCGATGAATGCTTGGCTATGGTCAACAGCGTTCCACTCTCGGGATATTCCGATTACGGAGTTCATGGACTATTTTGGAGCATTTTCGATTGTGCTTTACTCACTCTACGCCCTCGTGGCTAGGTAACCCTTGTTGCCTGACCTAGTTCACTTTGAGAATATCAACTATGTTTATATTAAAAACACAACATTAACGCTAGCAGTTATCGTAAACGTAACTTCGCCATGGGGTGAGAAGGTTCGGTGTCTAATAACTACCGCTTACCAATGTCTACAGGATGATCATGGACAAGCTGGAATCGGCTGTACAATGGCTGGTGCAAGTGGCCTTCATCTGTTTCTTCATATTTCATCTTTACTATATGCTCAACGTTAAATTTGACTATCAATATCATATCACTCTTAATATAACCACAGGTAAGACAAGGCTGGCGTGAAAAGTAACTGTACATCTATGGGCAACAGGTCATGACTCCGGCTATATTTTGGCGAGTTTCAGGCTAAAGCCATATGTATGATAATATAGACCTATGCTACTTGCGTATAAACACGATGGGGGTATGCCATGCTAGCGATGGATATGTTGACATGTTTCCCAAACAGGCATTATTAATTCGGCCGGCTGGTTGTACTGGACGTGGACAAACCGAGGGCGGCCCTATGCAGCGAAGTGCGCCTTCGTCGTCATATCGCTTTTGGCATTATCATCTCTTGAAGTTCTAGACTTCTCTCCGGTGTGGTTCATTTTTGATGCTCACTCGCTGTGGCATCTTGGAACTGCACCTCTTCCGTTAATTTGGTACAGGTAGGCATAAAGACTGATTTGCGTTTCCTATAACATAGTAAATGGTCTAAGTTCTATACCCGATTCTATTGCCGCGTTCAAGCGTTGCTTCAGCCGGCTGGAGGATGGCTTTCTAACGCGAAGCGAAGCGTACCTATGCACAGTTAGACTAATCCGCTCAACTTACTAGAACTACCTCAGTTATGTAGGCAAACACGCCATTGCTCCATTACAGCAGAGACGAACTACATGCAGAAAATTTCTTTCATGGCTAAGACGGCTAGTTGTACCTTTTACGACAAAACTCGGTATCGCTGTCCTAGGATCGCTTGAAGAACCTGTCAGGTTAGGAAAGGGACGCATTTCAATAGAGACGCATCAGAGAAGGGAATGGTGACCGTATCCAGTATTACCTTTCCTATTACTGCACAGATTTTGGTGTGTAAGTAAAGAGGGCGTGTAAGTCTTGATTCGAATCTAGATTATCTCCATGTTGTTCCGGTTATGGGCACTAAACATGTTATCACTGCAATATTGCAGGATAGCTAACACACTATACTGGCCAGCGGGCCAACGTTTATACAAATTTCGATTGTTTCTTCTCTCTACTAAGGCTCGTCAGCTCGTCGACAGTCCCTTTAGGACTTAGCGCAGTAATAGGCTAATCTAGCTAAATGAATCACTCTTGTTATACATACAAACTTTACTTCGTCTTTGTAAGTTATTATCTATATCTTTGAGCACTGATAACAGCTGTTTGAATTATGTGGCTTTTCCTTTCTGTTACAACCTCGCAGGTTTCTCATAGACGACTGTCGCTACGAAAACATCAAAGCTAAAGCCCAGCCAACGGTACCTCCCGCGACTGGAAGGACACTTACCCGTCGTGGTTTCGCCAGGGTCAAAGAGTTACTTAAGGAGATTAACGTTCTTAATATTCATAATGACGATGGGTTTACGCTCGATTAGGCAGACAAGCAGATCGAACCGCAGCTAGCATAATTTTAAACCCCAAAAAAAGTCAGATCTTGTCACAATTATGTATTCAAGAGATCAATCGTGCCTTGCAGAGGTTCGAAGTCGCTACTTACTGTCACAGCCCGAGTGACTCAATATGCAACACAAACGCGATAATTAGTATGATAAGTGATCAGATCCGCTTGTTTCCTGCCAATATTTGGCCGTAGTAACGCTCAGATGTACATATATATCAAATAAAATCGTTATAAATGATAGTAAGCATATCGGCACGCAGCTGCTGTTCGAAACAGAGGAAAACTACCTCAAGACTAAATATAATGCGGAAACATTTGGCATATCTGTGTTTAGATCATGAAAATTATTACGTGATAACACCATTCATATGGCTGTCTTAATGAGAAGCGCATCACATTGTTCGAAACACTGCCTACAGAATTAGATGCCGCATCGTTAGCTACCACTGGGTGGGCGAAATGGACGCGTGATGCAAAATAAAGCTTATACATAGCACAGGGATGTTGAACCTCGGAGTTTGCTAGTGGTATCACCATCTACAACACCAATATCCTTCGATGTTCTTCAGTAAAACGTTACCTCAAAGGGCAACTGGTTTTACCTTGAGCGACTGCAGCAACGCGCAACTGCTAGCGGCTATCGAATCAGGCCGCATATCGACGGATTTGTCAGTGATTGAGATATTAGAATTTCGCGTACAAAAGAATCGGGAAGCCGGAGAAGAAAAGCCTTCCGAAACTGGGCGTCAACAAAGTCGCCTACGATAGCCTTGTCTTCAAAACCGAAAAGATGCGATGAGATCGACTGAGAAATCAAGCCTGGTCGATTCGAGTGCATAAAACTTGTGGTGTTGTTTCCTCTCTGCTACCCATCTATTTGAAGATACCGTTGTATGCAGTACAACACAGCGCCTATTAGGGTTGTCAGGTTAATTATTTACGCACGTTGTTACAATAAAACCGATTGAAAAAAAAACGCATGCCACTGTAAATAATAACATGCGTTTTCGTATGGACGCAATATGAGCGCCCGAAACGTGGGGCATGCCAACTTGGAAATGTAGTTGAAATAAAAAAATCGCCTTAGGCACGCCTAACTATCGTACCCCATACTTTGACCTCGGAGAAGTAAAAAAAATAGACCAAGAAAAAACAGATTTGTTTTCCTACATTTGTTCTTTTTTATTAGGAACTATCAGTTTCGAAAAATGTGCGGGAACGATTTCAGTGTGATTAGGACATAGGTAAGGATCAAACCTGATCAACCGTCAATGTTGATCGCTGGATTCAATTTGACATAGTGGAGTTGGCCCAACCATGCGTCGGTCAACGAAAGAAGTATGCTGGTCAGTTGTCAGTTACCGCCATATCGCAATTTGTTTTTGAGTTGAACTCTTAGGTATGGTATTTTAGGTATAATACCTACGTACAGTTGGGCAGCATATTTTGACTCGTATATTCCAACCTTAATTATTTACTTTATTTATATAATCTTAATGAGTTGATTTCATATTTTGCATCACTTTCTGATCTAGCTTTGCTAAGGTTTGAACATTGGTTTTTTATTAGTAGTGTTTGTACGATTTTGTGAAAAACCTACAGATACATTTTGATAATAGGAATTAATTAAGCCTATTTATTAGTTCTAAGCTCGTCCTTTGTAATAGCTCAGATGCCGATAGAGGAAAACTAGATCACTAGCTAGTCTTCGAAGCCTTTGCTTTGCCCGTTCATTCAAGGGACCTTTAGCCAATCACCACAAACCTTGTGCTAACAACCGTTTTTTCACAGATCTATTTTTTTCCTTCTAAGAGAAAGTAACGCCTCTATTGATAACGATGGGAACATATCTACTAAACTACCCAAGTGGGACGGTTTTGTTTGGCTGACGTCTATATTAGCGCCTTTCATTTGTCACTGCTCTTCCTCGTTCGCCGTACTGTAAAAGCAATAATTTTGTCGAATGGCTATACAGATAAACTGATAAAAATGTGTACATAGCCCTTGGCAAAAACCATACTCAAAGAGTGAACTGCGTTACTGCAGAGTTTAGGGATATAACAGATGCACGACAGGAGATCGGATTAAGCATATATAGTGCTCCACTGCCGAAAATAAAAATGCTAAGATCAAATCGAGCCAAACAATAGCAATAATAGTTAAAATTGGGAATCAGAGCCTGCTTTTTGTAAGGGTCCCGTCAAAAGTAAAGCCTACATTTTAAGAAAAACAGAGGTAAACGTATAGTTAGACACTTGCAAAGCGTTCGCCCTTGATAAGGGCCGAATCGAGAGGGATAAAGAGAGAAAGAGAAATAGCTAACATGCAAAAGGACATAAAACATCTATGTAAATGTTAGACATTCTGTAGATAGAGATTGATGCAAGATATTACCTTTGTGGGATCTGTACCTGGGATCTGCTAATGTCAGACATTATAATTTACAGGGGCTGTGTGACAATAAACACTAATCATTTACGAAGTCAATCATTCCAACATTATGCATTGAATTTTATTTTAGAAAGGTCTTCTTCCAAGTCAGGCTCGTATCTGACTGAGCATGATCTAACAGCAGCTGCTACAACAGCAATAAAATCAGCACACAGGTTGCAATCGTTAAGAGTGGGAGACATTTTGATAAATCAATCGACTTTTAGATGTTTCTCTGACAGTGTATCAAAAATATTTACCCTTCTGCACTGTTTCAATTGGAATCTGTTTGTCCCGTTAACACCCGCGTCCCATTGCTGCAAAGCTTAGTGAAATAAATAAGGTTTTTGGGGACAGCATCCAGAATACAGCCTGTCAATAAATAGTAATATATGACGACAGATTTGTAACTTCTGTAACTGTATTAGCAACTATCGGTATGATTAAAAGCCGAAATCAGGTAATCTTTTCGGAGAGAATCTCGGAAAAAAGATAAATAAACGAAATTTTAATTAGTAAAAAGAGGTACATAACAGAGATTATATCACATGATATGATGTATCGACAGCGTGAAGGTGATCAGACTAAAAAACAGGCGTTGGACGAAGTTTTATCTGAGCCATCTTCACTTCCGTGGTCTGGTGCCTAACGAAAACATCACAGTTAAAGGATGGTCAGCGACGAGGAACATAAAACGGATGAATTAACAAAAGTAATATTCTTTAGGTTTGACCTAACCATGTGAAACAGTGTTTTTTGCGGAGATAATACGTTGAGGTGTATATACACATATATCTGGATGTAGCTATCTGTAGACCTGGGTCAAATTTAAGTGTCAGGGAAGATGCCATCATATGTATCTTGTTGAACAAGCTTTAGAAAGAGCATTTTGTGTTTCGAAAAAATCTGCGGTAACTCGTACACAGGTAAATGAACTTAATTCTAACTAAGTACTTCGTATCACCGGTTTCCACCGGAACTTCTGTGGAAGAAGCGAATTTGGCGCGCACCGGGGTTACCGCGCAGGTGCCACTAGTCGACTCAAAATGACAACAGTGTTAAGTTGTTCTTAACTCTACGGGAAGTTTCAAATGTTTGTAACACGAATCCGATTTTCCCAGGTTTCATGGACCTGTTTTCTAATCGGAACAAACCAACTCGCTAAATATTAAAATTCTTCGAGCACGGAGCTTTCATTCGTCCTAGTGAACAAGATAAGTGTTATGGTAGGGTAGGATTTGTCCTGTATGTAGGTTTAACAGGACGGTTGGAGAAAATTGCTGTATCTCTAACGCAATATTGTTCGTGAGGTTTTTGTTTTTCCAAAATCTTCGTTTAACGAAAATACAACGATCGTAGAGCCATGTGTATATCGTATAGAAATGTACAGCAAAAGAAGTGTTCTTTTTAGTCGTGAGGAGTTGCCTTTATACTCATAAATAATTAGCATGAATTTCTTGTAAGCCTAGTAGAGATGATTGCAGTTTGGTAACTCCTGGTCATTTTTTAGGATGAGCGCCACTTGATAGAGGTGACAACCTCGGGGACATTCTATAAAATTGATTTTACCCTTGTGGCTATGTTTTTCGCACTGCAGCTCGGTATTTTGCTCGACATACAATCTAACATGTCTGGTTGTTTACTCTCGTCGCAAATCTTTATATCGCACGATCTTTTTAATTTGTTCTATTTAGTCAGAGAGTTAATTATTACTAGTAAACTTTTAGTGTTTTGTACGCATTTCTGGTAGTATTATTTATATATATCAAAACAAGTTGTTTATTGCCTATAATACGGTAATGCTTTTACCCTAGTATGCATAATCTCATTAGATAATGCTATATATAGGTTGTGTTTTTTAACACATTCTCTATAGCCTTTTTGTTTAAAAGCCTGAACGATAACTCCTACACGAACACTCACATAACTTATATAATGTTGATATCTTATCGGAAACGTTAATATCTCTAGGCTATTTGAAGGTAGTAGCTACTACCTTCAAATAGCCTACTACCGAGGCTCGGTGTTTTCATTTCTATTGTCTGCTAATTTACCTTCAAGTGATTTTGCTTTTTTCTGCTTACTTGAGCCTATGTAAATTCCTGTCGGATAGCAATTACCGCCAGCATAATTAATCTGGCGTGAATTAACTTCCGGGTGTGGGCGGGTCATCGGTAGAGCGTGGCCACAGCGCTCTTCAAATCGTATGTCGAACTGCATATCGTGAATCAGTCATATCCTGGGATAATTTATTCGGATCGTCATAGCCTCACTTGGCGTGAGGTTCTTGGTCGGCGGATCGTAAGCCCTTTCGTTGTCGGCCCGATTGCGTTACGTCTAATTGGCGATTCCCGATGTCGAGAGATGGTCCGTGTCACAAACCGACGCCGCAGGGCTCTCGGACGATCTGAACGATAAGGTCGGAAATCATAACGTTTAAGGTCGAAGGTTTCTGACGACACCGGAATCAGGTGAGATGAATATTGCAAAGAGGCGTAATAGACGGTGGAGCGATCCCATGCGATGCCATGACTAATAAATCAATTATGGGCTCTCTAATGATTTTCATACATTTGATCAAGATTAGGTTTAGGCTCAATTTTTCGCCACTACGAGAACCACCACCGGATTCGGCTAAAAACCCGTGTTTTTAGAACATTTCAAGAAACGGAACAAAATTAACAGTCATAAACAGGTTTGGTATTTGCAAGCCCAGCTACCATGGGATATTTCTGCTCACCATCGGGCCGTCCGGCATGTTGTCAAAATGTTTCTCAGATCTCAAAGGTACGCTTTGTTATATGTCCCTTAATAAGGAAAGTCCCTTAATAATAATATCTTCCTTCGACTCTTATTGCAGGGTCTTATTGTGATTAATAATACAGTCAATTGAACTGTCTAATTTTAAGGGGCATTTTCTCGTCTAACTTTTTCGATTTTGTAAAAACCCAATTTAAAATTGGGGTCGAGGGCAGTCGACCACTGTCCACCTGGGAGGTAGCTTCCTTTGTATCAATATCGTCCCGGGAAACGCGTTCAGTGATTAGTTGTAATGGAACAGACGGTGAGACGGGAGCTACTACAAGACCTGTGTTTGTAGCAACGGGCATTTGCATGGACATCCCCTAACCCAGACATACTTCCCCTGCGACGGAGATTGCCGCTGTCTGCTGTTCCGAAATAGCACTCTCGGTAAAGCAAAAGCGTATCTTGGCGTGTGTTTGGACCTCTTGCAGGACCGATGCCGCTGGCGGCCGAAATATTGCGCTTGAACTTGTGGGAGAATCATTTGCGGTTACTCTAGTTAAGGCTGAATGTGCATTCGGTTGGATTAGAAGACGCGTTGCCGATAGCCACCGAGAAGGCCGTAGGCTGTCGATGCAGTAGGGGTATTTGAAGCACGGAATTGAATTGGGAGCCTGTTAAACCTTGTGGTGCTACTTCGATGGGGGAGTTAATAGCTACATGATTTGCAATGGCGGCGACAGCGTCTTCTGGCCTGATTACCCGGGTGAAAACAGCGTAGCAGCGACGGGTGCAAAAGGGCGCGAGCCACGGCGCAGTTGATGGCCAAAGCATTCATAGATTTTGCTGAGGTGTGAAGAAACGGCATGGGAAGTAGCCGAATGATCCACAGCAGTCGCCCAATGAAGTGAGACTCAAACCAGATGAAGCAGATGATGTAGGCCAAATTTGGAAGGACGAATAGTATATTAATTCTGATGAGGCTGTGCAAATATAGCTGCGGGCCATCACGGCTGTAGAACAGCAACACATCAAGAGAAATATAGTAGTTGTCCATTAGTACGAGCGACTTTGTTATAAATGGGGTACAAAGCTATTTTGAATGCATTATACTCGAGGGTTTCTAAAATGGATATAAATGTGTATTATTCTTGATTGGTGATTGACTTCACTAACTGATTGTTTTTGTTAATCGATTTACTGAACTAATCAGTATCACATATGTGATGTACTATGTTTGTATCTGAGGTACGGTGGTAGATCAGAAACGAGGATTTGCGATAAAATCAAGTCATTTTTATTTCGTTAAGAGAGAGAGAGAGAGAGAGAGAGAGACGATAATGATTTATAAACTCAATTTAAAAACCGCGAGGTACGCTTTTTAATGCCCTACATCCTCT